GTCACAAAACACAAGGGTTCCAGGTAGTCATGACCAATCAGAGCTGGCATATCAAATGAAAGCTATCTGTCATCCATGGTACATAAATTCACTTAATTTGGTTGTTTATCAGCAACACAACTGTAATAGAAATTTATATAATTTTACAATAGTCTTATGAATACTTAATTATTATGAATTACTAATTAAAATCTGGATGATGTTGAAAAAGAATAGCAATATTAATAAGTGCAGTTAATTTTTTTCCCCAAAACAAGAGTCCCTGGGAGAAATATAACAGTGTGATCATTAGTGGAGAAAATTCTCAGTACTATAATACCTCACCAAACTACATCTCATTCCTGGAACAAGCCTTGCACACTCATGACTCCGTGTTTCTGTTGATCAAGTTTTCCCTCTACCAGAAATGTCCCTTCACTGTCAACCTTGGTGACTTTGCTCTAGATCAGCTCAAAGAGTACATTCTTCTCCAATCCAAGAAGACATAATTGCTTCCTCTCAGTGCTGCAATATAATCTGCATGTACTTTTATTATATAACTTAAATAAATAATAACTGAACAATAAGTATCTGTCTCCCCTGTTATATTAAAAGCTTAAAGTCAGGGAGTTGCTGTCTGGTGAACAGGAAGCCATGGCGCTCCGGGTCACCAGGAACATGAAAACTAATGCTGAAAATAAGGCGAAGATCGGTATGGCAGGCGCAAAGCGTGTGCCTGTGGCCACTGCTGCAGCCTCCAAGCCGGGGCTGAGGCCAAGAACAGCTCTTGGAGACATTGGTAACAAAGTCGGCGACCAGCTGCAGGCCAAAATGCCTCTGAAAAAGGTAACTAGTAACTATCTATCTTATCCAAGTTCTTTGTAAGAGCCCATCTTCACACTGTGACCCTTGATGCAGAAACATTCCATTCTCTGTTTCCTCTACAGGAAGCAAAAACTTTAGCTACTGGAAAAGTTATTGCTAAAAAACTACCAAAACCTCTGGAAAAGGTGCCTGAGCCACAGCCACAGCCAGTCTCTACTATAAATAGAAAGAAATTAATTGGCCAACTGATATATATATAAAAAAAAAAAAATTTAGCCGGGCATGGTGGCGCATGCCTGTAGTCCCAGCTACTCGGGAGGCTGAGGCAGGAGGATCGCTTGAGCCCAGGAGTTTGAGGTTGCTGTGAGCTAGGCTGACGCCACGGCACTCACTCTAGCCTGGACAACAAAGTGAGACTCTGTCTCAAAAAAAAAAAAAAAAAAGAATTAACAGTAACATAACAGGACAGGTGGTTCAGAATCGATCCATCCCACCTTTTTTGCCAAAAATCTTCCTAAGTGCTAAAACCCTGCCACATCAATCAGACTGATAAAAAGAAGCTAAAGTGTTCCCTGTAATGCCTCCCTTCCAAGACAAGTCTGGAGTAAAAGGCTCTCTACACGTTCCTTTAACTTATCAGATGACCTTCATGCCAGCAATATTCCTAAGACCTTTTCTATGTTCTTATCTTGTGATCTTGCAAAATCCTATCAAATTCCACACTTTCCCATTTTCTACCAATCATAGTGTTTCTAAGTGCATCCTTTCTAGTTGTTCCCTCATCTGCTTATTTCTATGCCATTTCTCACAATTTCATCAGTTTCATCCAATTTTTATCTACATTCAAAAATTATTGTTCTCACTTAAAAACCCTTAGAAAATTAAAAATAGAAGTGCAATTTTTCTCTCATGTAGGAATTTTTCATTTATAACCATCCAATTTACTTATCTATACCACTCTAAAATTACAATTAATTTGGGTTAAATAGCAAAGTAGGCTGCATATAACAATGTCAAAATGGCAAGATCCATTTTCAATTTCCATTCTATCTGAATCTGTCTGCAGGTATGAGTTTTTATTAACATTAGTTATCTGATGTGCCAGACACTGTGGTAAGTGCTACGGATATACACACAAAATACAAGGAGCCTGATTTAGCAGAGAGGGGAAGACCTACTCAGTTTTTACAGTGCAGTGTGATAAGTGCTATAGCCGCATTAAAAACACATAAACAGGACTAGATTGTTCTACCTCATGAGATCCAATGTTGACACAGAGAGTGAAAGTCCACTTACTTAACTTCCAAAGTCCATGAATTCCCTGAATCCCCAATAGTCAAATACACTAAATACTACTACATTGTCTTAATTTATAAAACAGTGTGTAAAATCTGCACACCTGCTGAGATCTGAAATCGTACGTTCTTTGATAATGTGAACTAAGCATCTGACCAGTGCCCTTTTCCTTCCATTACCCATCCTTCTTTTTCTGGTTTTCCTCAACCTCTCCATGCACAAGTAGAATCTTGTTGATAAAATAGTAATGTCCAAGTGTCACATCTTCTTGTCTTAGCAACTGTATCTAAATCATGTTAGTGTACTTATTTTTTAACAAACACCTAAAAAAGAAAATCTCTCAAAAGGGCATTCCTTTAACCAAAATAACCTGAGTCATAAATCCACTAATGTTTTATACAAATACAATTTCCATTTTGGTGATACATTTATTATCAACATTCAGAGATAGGCTTCTGCATCCCTTCTTATTTCACAGCCACTGGAACTCAGCTTCTCCCACTCTTTCATCTGATCTGCTCTTAGCAAAAGCCACCTGGACCTCTTACCCTTCACAAGCCCTCCCTACAGTATAAAGATATAATCCAAGCACAACAGTGGTTACATCTCCTTGGCCTCAATGGGATAATTTGGAAGGCTGAGGCCCTCCAAATTGGATGACCCCAGTTCATTGTGCCTTTGCTTCACCCAGAAAAGATAATCTTTGGCAACTTCCTCACAATTCTCCATTACGACAGAAATAAAATCAGACCACCCTGTTGGTTCTCAAAAACTTCTCCCACACACATCAAGTCAAAGCCCTTTTCCTTATCTCAGGAGAGGGTCTCAGCAATGAGGTAAACAGTTTGTGGAGGCCCTCCACTTGCAAGTTAAATCCAGGTCCATCTCTATAAATTTAAAATGGGAGTTTTCATAGAGTCCTGCTAGGTCTTATTTTCAAGGGCCCAAACTATCCCCACACATTCCTTTTCTCTCAGATAATTTCCACAGTAATACAAGGAGGGGGAGGGGGCCTAGGGGTGCTACAGAGCACTCCCTTCACTCCCTCCTCCATCGGTACAACCCCATTTCTAGTTCCCTATTCCAAGGCATTTGCAGCTATCACAAACCTGTCAGAATCAAGAGTACAAGTGTCACTTTCTCCAGACATACTAGTCTCTGACTGCCTAAAAGTTCCTTGTTCTTGAGTGGACAGATTATTTTATCTAGCTTTTTATTAGCTGACAAATCAGGGCTAAACTTTACAGGTAGAAACTTTTAGAGGTAACCATACAGGTCCACCATATCAGTCTTACAAATTTGTCTCTTCAAAAAAATAACGAGAATGTTTAGACACCCGGGATCCCTCTCAGCAAGAATTTCTCTATGGCCCTATTTCTACTCCCTCACTTTGGCACTTGTTTTCAAAGTTCTTACCAACATGATCGCCATTCTCATGCCAAACCAACTCACCCCCCAATCCCACAAAGCAACAACTGGCAATGTCTCTGGAAGCTCTCTGTCTTGGGCCCCCAGTTATGCACCACCAGGGTTGGAAGCACCGCCAGCAGGGCTTCTGGCTGACTGCAAAAAACACAGGTTGGGGCTTCATATGCTGGGGTACCCTGGATGGAGATAGTTATTTCCCACTTTTCTGAAGTCTCTCCTCATTCTTTATCCTGAGTAATGGGCAACAAAGCCCTCTGGACTCAGCACTCACTTTCCCAATTCCCCACCCATACATCAGTCCATAAGAATTATAATCTCGCTAATGCTAGTTAGAATTTAATGAACTAGAGACACTCATTTTGTGATTCCAAATTATCCAAACTGCTCTGGAAAATATAAATGAAGTCATTAACTCCTTGACTCAGTATTTTCAGCTCTGGAAAACTAACGTGGAGAAACAGTCCGTGGTTAAATTATAGTATAACCACTCTAAGTATAGTCATTAAAAGCAGACAAGATAGCAACATGGAGAACTCTGCCTCAAAATCAAAAGACTAGAAAGAAAGACTTTACAACTACAATTGCTGATGCAATAGTATGATGGGGCCTTGAAGCCATCAACTATGATTTAAACTTTGTTATTTCTTACATGGTTTAATCTTTGCAGTAATAGAATAAAAAAGCATCAGCTATATCCCCATATTCATACTCACGGGATGCAATAAACCCTCTGTCAAGTGAGATGTGAAAACATAGTCACAAAATATTTCCTAGTAGAAATTCTGAGAGTCTTGCACTTCAAGTCATTAATCAGCTATTTATGAGTGCTATATAGGGGGGTTCGCACACTTATCACTTAATCCCCATAAATAACCCTGTGAGGGTATCATGGCCTTAATTTTGCATATGAAGAAACAGCTATTCTGGCATATTAAGTCTCTATCCAAGGTCATACAGACCTGTCAGAGCCAAGAGTCAAACATCCGGTCTTCTTACTGGTTTTTCATTGCTCTTCTTAGTAGTTTCCAAGTTCCTTAAACCCAAGCTATTATAAATGTCATCATTAATACTATCCCCAGAAACCAAGTTGCTGTTATATCAAATTGATATGATCACAGTGTCAATCAATATTGGAGACCTTTCCTGTGTCCTACGCCAGCCCCTAGTAATCACCCTGCTTTCCAAATACGAACTGCAAGTTATTAAAATATTTTCCCCAAAGTTTAAGATGCCCAAAGCTTTGCATAACACTGTCTCGAAAAGGGGGAAGGGGCTGGCTGACCCTCCAAGGCCCAGGGCTGTTCCCGTGCGGGTCAGTGGGCTGACTCGGCTCTTTCCCAGGGCCACGTGGCAAACGCGAGCACCCTAAGGGTCGCGGTGGCGACTCGCTCCGCGTTCCGGGGGCCGAGGGCGCGGCGCCGCGCATTTCCCGCGGCCGGTCCCCGAAGCCCATCCGCGCCCACGGGCCTCACCTTCAGAGTCTCGTAGGCGGTCGCCACCAGCAGGAAAGCCTCCTCGGCGCTCTGCGGCGTCCTCCCGGGGCCCTCGTCGCCGGGCTCGGGCCGGTAGCGGTCGGGGTGGTAGCGCCGGGCCAGCTGGCGGTAGGCCCGCGCGATCTCCGCCTTGCCGGCCGAGCGGCTCACGCCCAGCACCTCGTAGCAGTCCCGCGTGCCGCAGTACAGCCCCTCCACCAGGGCCCCCGCGGGCCGCGCCCGCAGCAGCACCAGCAGCAGCAGGGGCGACAGCAGCACCGACCAGCGCCGGCCGGCAGCCCCGGCTCCCCGGCGTGGAGCGAGCGGCGCCGCCATCCCGGCCTCGCAGGCGGCTCGGCCACCCCAGCGGCTCTGCAGCTCCGCCGGGAGCCCGGCTCGGCCGCCAGACCCCGCTCCACCTCAGCAGCGGGCGCCTCCGCGCAGGCGCACAAGGGCGGCTGCAGCAACCACTTCCTTTCCAGCACGTTGCTAGGGGAGAAGGACGCCTCAGCCCGGGGCCGCTTCCGGTCTGTCCCGGAAGGCCTCCCTACCGTAGTCCCAGCAGCCGGAAGAATTGTTCTCCGTCGGATCATCGCTGGAGGATGTCGGTCTGTGGGTCCCAGGCTCACTTAGCCAGTGTGTTCGGACACAATGGCTGTCACACGCAACCTTTTCGACATCATTGCAAAAAACACAGGATGCTCAGTTAAATTTAATTTCAGATAAAAAACCAAATAATTTTTTCACTTGCTGCAGTAGGTATCCAGGCTCTCTTGCATCCCATTATCAGCGTCAAGAAGATATGTGCTTAGGGTTTTAAAGCCAAGTCTCCAGCCCCGGACGCCTTACCAAACGGAAGATGAACTTAGAGATTCTAGACGCTGTCTACTAAGGACCCTAAAAACTCATGGCCATCTGGTTCAGGGTTTCTCAGCCTCCACACTATTGACATTTTGGATCAGATAGCTTGTTGCCTTGGAGGGGCTGACCTATGCATTATAAGATGGTTAGCAGCACCCCTGGCCTCTCCACACTAGATGCTTATAGTACCACCACCCCCATCATAAACTTGTGGTGTAGGGTGGTGCATTTGTTTGAAACGTTGTGTTTAGATGTCACCTGTCCCCACATTGGATCATGTCATTTCCCTATTTGAAACATTTGATAATTTTTATTGACCCTTGCCTCAATACAGGCTACCCAGTTCACTTCCTCCATGCAAGCTCCTCATATACAAGCCTATAGATAACAATATTGCATTGAACACTTGAAAACCTCTTAAGAAGCTGGGCATGGTGGTTCACACCGGTAACACTTGTATATTGGGAGACCAAGGCAGGAGGACCAGTTGAGGCCAGGTGTTCAGGACCAGCCTGGACAACAGAGTGAGACCATGTCTCTACCAAAAAAAAATTTTTTAATTGGCCAGGTGTGGTGGTGCACACCTGTAGTCCCAGCTACTCTGGAGGCTGAGGCAGGAGGATCGCTTGAGCCCAGGAGTTTGAGGTTGCAGTGAACTATGATGACACCACAGCACTCTAGCTTGGCAACAGAGTGAGACTCTGACTCAAAAAAAATCTGTTAAGAGGGTAGAACCTATATTAAATGTTCTTACCACAATGAAAAGATCAAATGAGGCTAGGGAAGGCTCACTTCAAAGCAGACAGAACTTGGGTCCCCAGCTGTGCTAGTTGTCCTCTGAGCTGCCAAAACCCACCATTCCTTACCCTGGGGAATTATATCCTCTGCAGACATTTCCCCATTGCTGTCTGCCTGGGTGTTAAACTCTGCCAGTAGAGGGTGCTTGAGGGGGTATAATAGGCTGGAAAAGGAAAAGGAGACATTTTTTCCTCACAGCAAACAGGGTTCCCAATTCAGCACCAGTTTCTTTGCTGCCACATTGGTGATGGCTCCTGCTATGGGTTGAATTACGTTCCCCCAAAAAAGATATGTTCAAGTCTTAACATGGTGCCTGTGAATGTGACCTTACTTGGAAATAGGGTCTTTTCAGATATAATTACTAGTTAAAATTAGGTTCCTCTGGATTAGGGTGGACCCTAACCCAATGACTGGTTTCTGTATAAGAAAAGAAAACAGAGGCACAAACATGCAGGGAAGGTGATCCTATAAGACAAAGGCAGAGATTGGAGTTAAGTTACCACAAACCAGGGAATGCCAAGGATTGCTGGCTGTCACCAGTAGTTAGGAGAGAGGCAAGGGACAGATTCTCCCTCAAAGGCCCCAAAAGGAACCCACCCTACTGACACCCTGATTTCAGACTTCCAATGTCCAGAATTGTGAAATAATAAATTTCTGCTGTTTTAATTACCGATGTGTGTGGTAATTGTTACAACACTAGGACTCGAACACAGCTGGAGTCAGTGTCTTTGGAACCAGATTGGTAGCAGCTGTTAGCTCTTAGCAGAGGCCGGTTTCTTCCCCACAGAAGCAGGCAGGGAGCTCCTGGAGCAACCACACTCTCTCCTCAGAGCAAAAGATGTAGTACATGCAGGCTCAATGGCTGCAGGGTTTCCTTTCAGGGTGATGAAATTTCTGGAACTAGGTAGGTGGTTGCACAACACTGTGTATGTACTTAATGCCACTAAGTTGTACACCTTTAAGTCGTTAAAATAGTAAGTTTTATGTTATGCGTATTTAGCACAATTAAAAAAATTAATTTCAAGTGGGGCAAGCGCCTCATCTGAGTTTCTAAGTTCCTTATTTTTCCCTCAGTTCTAGGAGTAGCAGCTGCTCTCTACATTATTTCTTTCTGTAAATTTTTTATTGTGCATTACCATAATATAAAATTTACTATTTTAACCATTTTAAAGTGTACGATTCCGTAGCATTACATATATTCACAATGTTGTGCAACCATCACCTCTACCTAGTTCCAGAACTTTTCATCACTACAAAAGGACACCCTATAGCTACAGGGTGTTCCAAAAGTCGCCATACATAGGCAAAACAAGAAATTGTAGCTAAATGTACCTTTATTTACAAAATAGTCATGACAAAATTTTACAAAATTTTTCCTTTATATGGAGAATTTTGGGACACCCTATATTAAGCCTGTACTTACCACTTCTTTTGCCCTAATTCTCATAAAGTTCTCTTTTACCCCTCTTAGTAGCTCACCATGGCCAACAGCATAAAGGAGCATTCCTCACCTGAAGGAAGATAAAGCAAACTACAGGGGAGCCAGGAAGGATCCCAAAAGGTCCAGTCCAGGCCAAGGTCAAATGTTAAGAATAATCATGGGAATACACAACCTGGACAGAGTTACTGTACTCAGAAAGGTGGACAATGTGCTTGGAAAGTGCTGCCTGCACTAGGTTTCACTTTATTTCTCTTACTGTAGGAGACCCTATGAACCAGAATCTGTAATAAAATCTTAGGCAAATCATCATACAAACAGGAAATTGGAAAACTTGGATGAAATGCAAAAGTTCCTAGAAAAATATAAAATATCAAAATTGCTGCTTGTATTAACATTAAGGAAACTTAAAAGTTATCCAAGATTGTTTCTCCTGAAAAAATCAAGTTCCTACAAAAAATAGGAGACTTTTAAAACCTATCCATCAATTTCAAGGAGGTTAGTGTCATATCAATTCCAAAAGCAGATAAGGGCAATATAAGAAAATAATAATAGCTAATTGAGGCCAGGTGTGGTGGCTCACGCCTGTAATCTTAGCACTCTGGGAGGCCAAGGCGGGGAGGATTGCTCAAGGTCAGGAGTTTGAAACCAGCCTGAGCAAGATTGAGACACCGTCTCTACTAAAAATAAAAAGAAATTAATTGGTCAACTAAAAATGTATATAAAAATTAGCTGGGCATAGTGGCACATGCTCGTAGTCCCACTTACTCAGGAGGCTGAGGCAGAAGGATCGCTTGAGCCCAGGAGTTTGAAGTTGCTGTGAGGTAGGCTGATGCCATGGCACTCACTCTAGCCTGGGCAAGAGAGTGAGACTCTGTCTCAAAAATAAAAATAAAAACAGCTAATTGAATCCAAAAGAATTTTTAAAAAATCCTACATCTTGATCCAGTAAGAATCTTTTTTTTTTTTTTTAAGACAGAGTCTCACTCTGTCACCCTGGCTAGAGTCAGTGACGCAATCATGACTCACTGCAACCTCAAACTTCTGGGCTCAAGCAATCCTCCTACCTCAGCCTCCTGGGTAGCTGTGGCTACAGGCATGACCACCATACTCAGCTAATTTTTGAATTATTTTTAGAGATGGGGTCTTACTGTGTTGCTCAGGCTGGCTTGAACTCCTGGCCTCAGGCAATCCTCCCACCTCAGCCTCCCAGAGTGCTAGGATTACAGGTGTGAGCTACTGCACCTACCAGTAGCCCAGTAAGAATCTTTACAGCAATGTAAAAGTGGTTTGCCATCAGAATATTTATCAATATATTAATAATTAATAGATTTTTTTAAATCATATGATTCTCACAAGTGATACAGAAAAAATTATATAAAGTTTAACACCTCTTTATGATTTTTAAAATTGCAGAATGGAAATACTAAAACATGTTCTTACCTTGGTAAAGTTTCTATATAAAAAAATTTACTGCAAAGTTAGACTTAATAGAGAAACTTCCTTTAAGATCAGGAAAAGACAAAAGAGCCATTGTAATATCCTTGCCATTGCTTAATATGATACCAGAGGTTCTTGTCTGCATTATGAGGAGAAGAACAAAAAGTATAAGCATTGTCAAAGAAGAGATAAAACTTCTTATATTACGAATGATATGAGCATCTAGAAAAACTAACAGAATCAACAATCAAGCTATTAGATTTTATCAAGAGTAACACAATTCAATGCAGAAAATTAATACCATGTATCTCTAGTGGCAATAATCAACTATAAAATGCAATCTATTTTTTCTACTACTGTATATACAGTGTCTAGCATATAATAGGTGCTTAATAAATATTTATTGAATGAGCAAATGTGGCTTATGACAGACTTGATGTTTATGGTTTTTTTTTTATTTCAGCATATTATGGGGGTACAAATGTTAAGATTACATATATTGCCCATGCCCCCACTACCCCTCAAGTCAGAGCTGATGTTTATGGTTTTCCTGGACTAACTATTCCATGAATCTCCATCTTTCCAGTCCTAAGAAAAACCTGAGGTGTTAGAGTATAGTCTGGATATACTACTAACTACAGTGGCAGGGCCGTACCATTTATAAATGTTCTCCCCACAATCTCTGCCCACAAAACAAAACTACCTTCTTTCTGGCTTTCTTTCCCAATGCTGTAGTAGAAGAATCAGGGGGCCTATCATTCAGTGGTTTATTTCCTGCTAGAACCCAGGCAAGGGCTGGGGTATGAGGGTTCTTTACTACCTTTGGCCCAACTGCTTAGGTAGACATGTTCAATAAATCAG